TATTTAATAATATTTATATTAGTTCATCTTACTTGGATTTCAGTTTATATTTTGATTTTCTCTTGGCTTAGCTATAATTGATTAATACTTTTATTTAGGTTATCTAACACACTATTCGTCTTTTTATAAGGGAAACCTGCGTAGGGTTGGTTAAAAAAGTATTTATATTATATTTTTAATGATTTTTATGTAATAAGAATATATAAAAACATTAAAAGGGCGCAACTGACAAGAAATTTTCATATCTTTTGATGTATTTGCATATATAGTTCAGAATATGGCCCGGTATGCAGAAAATTCCAAATTTATAGGCGCTGTAAAGATAAATTCGATTATCATTGAGGGATACACCCTTAAAAGAAATTGTGCACAACAAAATCATTTTGCCTATTAATGAAAGCTGATTTGCGTTCAAACAATTATTTTTTGCTTTTAGTTTTTGAGCAACAGGGGGCTCAAAGGCCATATTGCTGTTAATATTATTTTCCACTACGTGTATTTCCTTGTTGACTGAACACATCTCAAAAGCCATAATAAAAATATTTCTCAGCAGTTGACTCAAGAGTTGTTTTATACCAGAAGGTATAAGACTATTACATTTCTTCGGAATATGATTAGTTGTGATATAAACGATAAAATATATACACGCAATAGAATAAAACGGTGTAAATAACACGAAATTGTTAATAGTGAGTCAGAGTGAGTAAATGGCGACAAACATACAATAGTAACAAAAAATTTTCATAAAATCGCTTGTATCAATAAAGTATGAATGCATGTGTATTTATAAACAACACTACAGAAAAGAAGACGAAAAAATTCAGATACTGCCGAATAGCAATGTTCGTTGCTTCGAATTAAAAATCCACTAATTTTCAATGTCAGCAAAGAAAGGGGAATTTCTGTTGCCATCAACTACAGCTAAGACAAATAAACGATTATCCATTTCGTGGTTTCATAAGTGCAGGACTGTACTTTGACACCTGTCAAATTTAACTGCCAAGCTCTTAACGTTTAACAACCCTAAATCGCGTTAAAATTGCTAAAACCTACCACAAGTATGGTGATTCTAACATGGCCACGTCTCGTGCTTTGAAGGATACAATGGTAATATTAAAAAATAATGATGAAACTGGATTGGTTACAGATATTGTAGGCTGTGAAAGTACAGTGTGTTACAGCACATTATGGCATATTTTGTACTTGGTCCAGCTCATATAACTCGTAAACCAAACATTTTAATTGCATTCCGTTTACGTTCATTTTTGAAACCGTAAAACCGTTGAAAATGTTCTATGTCATATATGGATTGGACGGTTGTTGTCTGACATGATGAAGATGTTAAAAACCTTAAATCCACTCTTTTGAATGACAACGATGCTGGCATGAAAAGTGGTTAAATATCCGCACGCCAGTTATTGTAGAAGTTAATCCTATATTTTTAAAAATGTACACAGGGGAGAAATATGTGTGCGTCAAATAAATAGTTTTTATTTTAATTCTATAGTGACCTAAAACTCATAGGAAAATAAGTAAAAATGTGGATAATTTTCAACAAAAATGACCAAATGACGGCCTTTCTATGGCTCACATCTATTATCTCAATCAAAATATATGAGCGGATTAGCTGCTCCAGTTAGTACAAAGTTACAAACAAAACAAAAAAACTGGTCGCGAGAATATTTTACTTCCACAGCGAAAATAATACCAGCGAAATATTTTAAAAATCTTAGAGAATTTAACGCTAGTCATTGACTATTTTTCTAAATAATGTATACCATAATTAATTTAAATTTTTTAAATAAATCTTAGTGAATAGCAAAATACCTATGTGAGCTATAAATTAGGACTCTTTACGTTTTGCTAATAAAATAATTATCTAATAAATATCGAATAAATCAGAAAAAAAATTAGAGAAATTGAAGACATTCTTAATAGTTTCCATGTATAAAATACTTCTGTGAGTAATTGCATAGTACTGCATTTCTCAAAAGAACACCGTTATTTTGTCGAATATAATAAATGAACTCACGCAAAAAGTTATAGGTACACTGTTTCAGCTTTTTGGAGTGAAATTTGTGTAGTATTTCTAATGGGATTAGCCCTGAAATTAGACTAAAAGTAACAAAGCTTATGATATAACTGAAAAATAGAAGGAGAGAGATTTTAGAACTTCTTTATAAAAAGAAAATCATGTGGCAACTATATACCGAGAAATATGAGGAACACATGTTGCCAAAAGTTGGCTTAGATCCAATATTAACAAGCTCGCTATCGATTAGTTTGGAAAAACGGTTTAAGGGTTTTCCCAATGAGTGGTGTTGTATTGAATAACCCGGCATATTTCATTTTCGAAGTTGTATTTATTTGATATTTGATAAGAAGAAACTACGCCAAGAATAAAAATCAGTCAGTTCTTTGCTGATAACGTACTTGAAATCCATTGAAACGACTCGAAATTTCATCGAAAAATCATCTTTACCGATGAGACCCGTGGCTACCCTCGATGGCTATTGTTGAAAAGCCTTGCCAATCGTGTACCAAACGTGTAATTGTTTGGTGCGGTTTATGGTCCGGCGGGGACATTGCGCTTTGCTTTTACGAAAATGAGGCTGGAGTAACAGTTACGGTGAATGGATTGTACTATCTGATTGATCTGGAAAATGTCTATTTTCAACTACGTGCCACACAAGCAACAATCCCATCGAACTTTTGGGTAAATTGAGGTGATCTCAATTGGCCACCGAAAACTTGTAATTTAACACCCTGTGACTTCTTCTACAAGAGCTCAAATTCGTTAGTCTATGGAAGGCATCTATCCGTCAATTTCCGAATTGGTGATGGAAAATGACACAGTCTTGTAGGCGCAGTTGTGGCAACCATTTAGCTAATATTGTTTTCCAACATTAATGACATATCTCTTCAAATTGAAATAAACATCCGACATTGATCTTTAAAAATGTCAATTTAAATATCAAAATAACACCTCTCATTGGAAAATCCTGTATTGACTGATCGAGCTTATAATGCTTCGGTGATATTAAAGTTAGCTTCACGGCATATAGAAAAATGCCATTTCCTTCCCGCTATTTCAAAAGCAAATTCGTTAAAAAAGTATGCAGCAGATTAGATCATTTGTGCTTTATCTTTGCACAAATTTCGATACTGAGACGCAGAGCAAAATAAAAGAGTTGGGCATTACGGAAGTCTGGAAACTTGAAAAATGGGTTCAAATTTCGAGAATATTATACCAAGCTCTGAATCAGTATTAACCCATCTAGGCAGCGCGTAAAGCAATGCGTACTTGTTTTTAGTGTATATATGTATTATCTTTGAAATAATAATGTAAGTTTTCAAATGCACAATTTGCACAATTTTTAAAGGACTCGGTAAAATAAGCAGAAAACAACTTTTAAAGATTTATGCAAAGCTTTTGAAAATATTTAAAGTTTAATTACCATAAATTACTCACATCTCACAAATGCATTGTTTTTGTTATCTGTTTTTATTTTTTTTTTTTAATTTTTGACGTTTTAAGTTGTTGTTTGGCGTATTAGGTATTTATGTATACATTTTTTAAGTTTTAACACAGTATTATTTTATGGAGAGGAAACTGATTTTATTCACTTCTATTATATAATATATTATTAATTACATATATGTACATACACCTGCCGACCGACCTTTGATTATAATATCATTAATACTTTCGTAGGGTATAATAATTAAGAATAAATCAATTTTTTTGCAATATGTATAGCTTTGAAAACGTATGCGCTTATGTATATATATATATATATATATTTTGGAATGTATGTCCGTATGTATGTATATTTTAAGCACTTAAGTACTTAAGTGGGTAAATTAAGCGTTTATAATTGCTATTTTGATTGGATTTGCAGAACAAAATTAAATTGTTGATTGGAATTATAAGTAAAAGAAAAAATTATGTTTTTGTTAAAAAGTTGTTAAAAAGTATATATGTATGTATGGTATATACACAGCTGGACAAAATAATGGGATTGCCTAAATTTGTTTAATATAAATGCTTGTCTTTCATTTATTTCCTAAATTTACTTTAAATAATATTTTGTTTTTTAATGTAAACATATATCAGAATTATGAAAATAAATTATATTTATTTGTAAACTTTCAAAACCAACGTAATTTTTTGTTTAATACATAAAATTCACATATTTCAGCTTGGCAGCACAAAACAGATATTTCCATCAAAAATAGTTATTAATATTGCTTTTCAATCAGTTTTGGTCTGCATTTATTGAATAAGGTAGAAATGGGTTGATACCCTCAATAACAGTGTTGACAACTCTGTAGGTTACTTCGTGCATTGACAATATTAATTCTCAACAAATTTCAAGAGTATGGTCATACCAAACTTTCTGTATATTTTCCCATAGCTGCAATTTATTTGATCAAAGGGTCTTCGATATGTCGCTTTTAAGCTGTGCCGAGAGGTTGTGGTTAGTTGTGGGGCTTAACTTAGCCATTCAAAGATGTCGTATGCGTTCTTGTGACCATTATTGATCGTGTTGTTGTTTAGGATCGTTATCTCGCTGAAGTTTTCATAACAGCGCCATAAAATGCTTGGTATATCGTGGCGTCACAGTTTGGCGCAAATCTATGTAAACGAATTTATACAAGACTTCATAAATCTGATGTATCCGATCTACAACATCCCACCAAAAACAGCCACATAACATTTAGCTGCCATTTCCGCTTTTCACTTTTTCTTTCGGAATTTTAACAGAAAATTCCTTTATTCCTGGTGAATAATCTTTCATTCAGCATCGTTACCAAACAAATTCACCTTCGTTTCATCGCTCCAGAGAATATTACGCCCAATGATCGGTAATTTGTTGGAAAACCTTAAAACGTATAACACAAATTGGAGAAAGAGTTCGACCAAAAATTGCTTCTGCATTAATAATATGCCCGTATATCTGATCAACGTCGAGTTTTATGAAATTCTGCGAACGCTTTCATCTTCCTGAAGGAGAGAAACTTTGCGGGTTATTCTTACAGGCAAGTTTTAGCTTATTAACTCTAGTAACTCTATAAAGGGTCTGAAGTTTAGCTAAAGTTCGAATTCGATTGTGGAGCTCTGGGTACTTAATGTACTTTTTCTATTTTGTCAACATTTGTCTCGGAATTTTAAGAGCGCTCTATTGATCTCGAAAATAATTTGAAGGTTTTTTTTTACATCTTAGAGTTGTCGAATAAGTCGTACTACCTCTGCACTGCCATATATCCCGCGACTCAACTAATTTCGCGTTGTGTAAGTCCGATCGGGTTCCGCCAAATGGTGTTAGAGAGATGACGTTTTGTACTAAAAAAGTTTTTTTGACAGTTTTCTCATTAGTTGGTCCTGATACTGTTACAGTGAGTCACGCACAAATTCGGTTTAATTCCGGTAATTGTGATGTAAAAGATGTTTCACGCAGTGGAAGGCCAGTTGTCGAAAACGCCAATAAAATTATGGACATTATCGAGTTCGACCATCACGCAATCATTGTTTCGTTTGCCCAAGAGCTAAAGTTTGCACAAAAAACCATTTGGAGCCATTTGAATAAGGGTGAACACGAAAAGAAAAAATTTTACCTACAATTTGTGCAGAAATATGGATTTCTTTTTACTACTTCTCATATTTGGTTAGACATCCTCGATCTTTTTCTCGAGCATCTGTAGTCAACAAAAAACTGCCAAAATTCTTTAGTTCTTAATTTTTGCCAAAACATACCTATTTCATTGTCCAGCTCAGCTTGTGGGATAATTTTTTAGACACGCCGCTATATTTTTGAAGAAATAAAATGTTTATGATTGAAAAGAATGAAATATAATTTGTAGTTGCTTTTTCGGGCCACTTATTCTCCAGAATTTTTTTTGGGTTTTAAAAGAAATTTTTCTACATTTGCGGTTTACTTGACTTAACACCTATTATTGTGTGCAGCTGTGTACATATGTTTGTAAAAATGACGTATAATTGTTAATCGGCTTATGTTCACGTTATGGTATGTAGTTTAATAAGTAGATTTGTATGGTATTTAATTTATATGGATTTTTAATTACATTTATTATTATGTATAAACACCAACATTTGGATATACATACACCGCAAGCATTGCTGTGCAGTCCGTTTTAGACAGCTTAAATATGTATCTACATATATAATTTTATTTAATATGCCTTCTTCTATATAAAGTGCAAGTTCACAGGTATTATTATAGGGACTTTTATAAAGCAATAACTGAAAGTTTTTTAAAATAGACTTTTGTTTTATAAGAAGGAAGAAAAATCAAATATATTATTGTATAAAAGTTGTATCTAAATTTTAAAACAGCAATAAAAAATCCAATTTTTTTCATTTAAATTAAAGTCATCTTAAATAAATATAAAGCTAGTTACATACGGATTTTAGTCGATGTTCAACTGGAAACTGAAAATAACTCAACAGTTTAACGCCTCCCTACGCTTACTTCTTAGCATCCCTACTTTTAAAGTTTTAATTTAATATATTTTTGACGGTTTAATTTATTTGTTTTCCTGCATTATTCACAAACAAGCAGTCGCTGTTGCATTTACGACCGTCAATTTAGATGTATTTTCAGTATTGTTTTCTGTTGCTGTTGTGGTTGCTTTCGGTTTATTTGCTATTCGTTGCATTGCTGCCTTCGTGAAGTGCTTTTCTTGTTGTGTTGCTCGCCTTTCGTCACACTCAACTAGAGTACGCTGCTGCTGCTGATGATGCGTATGTGGTTGTTGTTGTTGTTGTTGTTGACAACATTGTACAATTATTCTCTCAATTAATTGTGAACTCGTCGTTTCATTGTGCGTCCGATATTTTGTATGCTCGACTGCAACTGCCGCCCATGCATGACAAACAGTTCTTGTTGCTGTTGTTGTTTTTGCTGCTCCAGCCGCTTTTGTTGTCGTTACAACTGCTTTTGGAGTTGCTTGATCAACACTTTTCCCACTTGCTGTTAATATTTGCCCTTTGGCCCACAGAATGGCGCTTTCTTCTGCAACTGTTGTTATTGGTGTTTTTGTCGCTGGCTGTATTGCTGTTGTTGTTGTCTTTGATGCTTGTCTTTCATGCCAAATAAAGAATTTTTCGCATAATTGGCGAAAATAGCGTAAAGTATACCAAGCCGCCAACGTTAGTGTTGTCCAACGTATCAGCAACAATGACAGGCAATGACAGTGTTGATGTGTTGCACCATTGGCATTCAAGGATGAGACAGCACCTGAAAAAAATTTATATATACAATACATGATTATACAGATAAATATATTTGAATATTTTTTGTCATGAACACATACATACGTGTACATATGTAAGTATATGCAAATTCGTAAAATTGTTTGCATCAAAAGGGAGGTAAATTTATTTGGTATTCCACTTAAGGAAGCAACAAGAGAGATGTGAAGTATTCTTTGTACAAACTTGCAACAGACGTGAGAGAACAGATAAATTTCTTTAATATTAACAGACAAGCGCTGATTGCCTTTAGCATTTGCTTCTCATACATATATATGTTAGAGTGTTCAAAAAAAACTTTTCCTCATTCGAACACTTCGGACAAAAGTTATGTCTTATACTTTTTTCTACAGCGAAAGAATTCTCGAAAACAAAATTTAATCCTATGGTTAATCCTTGTATTCCTTAAGCTGCAACATTCCAGTAATTTCAAAGTAATAACATTAAAAAACTGATTCTAACCACAGCGATTCCTAATAACAGTTATATTAATTTACTAAGGATGAGCTATAGAAAAAAGACTGCATTAAAATGCTTCCAGAGAATAGAATAAAGTTAATGGAAAATTATTTAGTGAAAAAAGTGAACGAAATGTTGAGCCCATCTCTAGTGCAGCTGTAAGAAGCAAGCTCTTATTTGTGATACAATTTTGAAATGGGTGCGCCAAAATATGTTATCACATTCCCTTATTTGTATATATATGCTTCTACCAGAAAAATTAAACTAGCATTGAATTTTTACAGCTTTTTAATACACACATATGGTCCCTTTTATACAATTCCGTGAACTCAAAAATTTAATCTCACATAACGGGTGTTCCAAGTTGAGCTACTTTTTTGAAAGCTCACACATAAGCCGTAGGTGAGAGTGTACACGAAGACTGTGGATAATCGATTGAACGCCGTTTGCAGCAACTCGGACTAACATATGGACCAATTTTGTTCAGTGATGAGGCCCAATTCCTGTTCTGATTCATCGCAAAAGAGCAAAATGTTGGTGCAAAAAGCCACCTGAAGAGATTTAAGAGCTGCCATTTTGTCCAGAAAATATACCGACTTGGCGTGGTTTGTGGGCCGGTGGAATCATCAGTCCATATTTCTTCAAAAGCGATGCCCGTGAGAACGTAACCGTCAATGGCGACCGTTACCACGTTATGGTGACCGAACCGTTCTCGTTAATGGCCAGTCCTTAGGAAGATATTACACTCTTTCCTGTGGAGATATGTAAGGTCTAAAGTCTAAATGGATAATTCCGCTTCGATTCAGGCATTGGAACGCGTCATAGGCAGTTACTAGTCGAATGAGTCATCAAAAATAGTACTCAACGGACGGACTATCTAAAATATGGCCGCTGCCAATATTTGGAAAGGATAATCTAAAAGATATATGCCAAAGAATGTACTTTTGAATAATAACAAACACTTCCCATAAAATTTTAATTTTTGTGTGTTTTTTTTTAAAGTAGGAAGCCTTGAAATGGATCACCCTTTTTCTATAGACATATGCATCTTAACTACAAATATATAAAAACACATTTAAAAGTTTTCTAGCTTATTCCTGTTTACAAAACACCATACATCTATAGGTGTATAGGTAGCGTCTACGAGGTCTGTTCAAAAGAAAAGATGTATTTTGAATTTTCACGGTTTGCGCATATTCGATTATACCCATTTTTTATGTTCTTAAAGCACCTGTACCACTTTTAAAAAGGAAGCGAAGGATATGAGTTTGGGAGTGAGGGAGGGTAAGACGAAATATCTCTTGTCATTACACAAACAGTCAAACAGTCACCACATTCCCGACTCGGCTCCCACGTCACTGTTGACAATCATAACTTTGAAGTCGTAGATAATTTCGGCTATTTAGGAACCGGCATCAACACCAACAATAATGTCAGCCTTGAAATCCAACGCAGAATCACTCTTGCCAACAAGTGCTACTTTGGACTGAGTAGACAATTGAAAAGTGAAGTCCTCTCTCGATAAACGGAAACCAAACTATAATAGTTGTTTATCGTTTCCGATCTGCCATATGGTGTGGAAGCATGGACGATGACAACACCTGATGAGTCGGCGTTGGTAACAGCGAATACCGGTGTCGATATAATGATGAGCTATATGAGATATATAGCGGCATTGACATTGGCTAGGTCATGTGGTCCAGATGGATAACAATACTCCAGCTCTGAAAGTTTTCGATTCGATAGCGGACGGGAGAAGCAGAGCAAGGGAAGATCTACTCCGTTGAAAAGGCAAGGTAAAGAGGGACCTCGCTCTACTTGCGCGATGTTATAAATTCGGCTAAAATCGCGTAAGTATTATATAAATCCGATATGGGTAGATACATGATACATGCGTAATGCAAACATTCATAGAGAGCTAAAAATAGGCTTAAATTGTAACACAAAAATACGTAGCAAAACTACGAAATCGTCGGAACCCTTTGGTTTACACCTTGGCGTCCGCAACAAGCCAACTGAATAGGAAAGATTTACTACTAACTAGCAAAAAGCAACACTGAGCCTGGAGCCCACTTTTAGCTGTTGGGTTGCAATATTTAAGAATTTTACTTATTACTTATTATGAGGCGGATTCCATATATAAAGGCAAATATTGTGAAAACAAACAAAACAAACTACTGATCCAAATTAGCTGATAACAGCAACATATTATATAATAAACATATATATATGTACCAACCAAAAAAAAAAAAAAAAAAAAAAAAAAAATACATAATGGAATGTACACAGGCAGCGAAAATTTGAAACTTACATTTTTTGAACAAACCTCGTATATTATTTTTCTATGATCTAAGTAAATAAAAGCTCATATTAATACCAAGGAGCTTACGTTGATTCTGTATTTTTGCATAACTGTATATTTAGGAATTCTATGCATTTTCAAATCTTTATATTTATTTATGAATGTGATGTGATGGATGAAACTCGTTTCTATATGCGAACATATATACATAAAAATGAATGTGTGTACTACCTAGGAAATTGCAACAAATTTGATTGCACTTGTTTTACCTTTTTCATCACACTTTTGGGCTGTCTTCCCTATTTCTTTGTTGGCCTCAAACCTCTTTGTTCTATGACCACAATATTGCCGGCTTTTTGCGTTCTAGATATCGTGCATATATGTACGTATGTGTCCTTAATATTTTTGCCTTCTTTCTACCCGCAATCTATTCATTTTAAGTAAAAACGGTTCTACATATGTGTATACGAGTATATCTATGTACGGTATTGCATTTGCCTTGCATATGAATATACAATAATATTGAATTTAAAATGTTCTACCTACTACTGAATTTGATGATTTTCACATTCATTCATGCAAATCTTATCTGCCAGGGATATATGTATACACAGATATGCATTTATATATATGTAAGTTTAGGTGAAATTTTCTTTTATTTATTCTAGCATGTGCCTTGTGGGTCTTGTGATATGAATATGCTCTTGGAATTAAGAAAAATACATGTGGATAACAACTTGTAATTTTCTAGGTATTTATTTTCGAGCTGAGGTATTTTTTATTAAGCTGTCACATAGGGTATTCTTTAATATTACATTTTTTTAATAGTTTATTTTAAATCCTTTTTAATTGTACTTACCCTTTATGTGTGTCATATAAGTATCAGAACGATCGACTAATTGGCCGTCCTCCATATCAAAGTAATCATCTGAGAAAGTGTTGACAGAATTTATATTATGTTTATGACGTTCCTCTTCTATTGATTTTTCGGTTGATTTCCAATAAACGTCGTGTATGTGAGCAGTGCAGCGTATCTGAAAGCAAGGAAAATGTGAAATGGAAACTAATAACTTGTTTCGTCTATAGGGATTAGCTAAAGTAAACATTAAATCAAACTATGTAAGTTAAGGAAAAGAAAATGGCTAGATAAAATAACTAATAATAATATTAATATTAACAAAAACTTGGCGATTTGTAACCTCCTCCTCTAATTTGTGGTATGCGTCTGAATGTTTATACTAAAGCGCCTCCGAGCGGCTGATAGGTTTTTTTATGAAATAAATTTGGAGGGTTTAACATGCCCTGACAATGAGCGACCGCAAAAAGCAATATTAATTTTCGAACGAGACTTTCAGTTGGCAATACTAACCACTAACTACTAACTACTAACTTTACCGCAGCTTTTCTAGAAAAATTTTATAAAAACTGTATGTTATGTTGCATTTTGCCACGGAATACGAGGAAATTAATAAAAGTTCGGCCAGTTGGTGACTTTCAACTTGTTTTTGGTACATCTAAATAAAAAAAGAACAAATTCTTTTTAATTACTTTGTTAGTATTCTTTTCAAATAGATAGCTGAGGATAGGTCAGAGTGATTCTCTTCGGGATTTAGCGTAATTTACAGCCAGCACAGATATTCAGTGAACACCAAATTATATATAGAATCATTGCACCATCTCAAAGACTATTTCTAAGTGGTTTCAAAGATTCAAGACCACACCTTTTTCCGTAGAGAACCAAAATCATCAACTAATGCCGTCATTGTAGCTCTGGTGAAGTCTGAAATAGACGAAGACCCACGATTGCCACAAGTTATGATTGCTAATGAATAGAGCTTGAAAGCAATGGTTGTATCGCAAATATTAAGTAAACATCTGGGATACACGAAGAAATCTGCTCGATGGAACCACGAACTTGAAATGAGGTCCCAAGAGAGGTTCGAGTGCATTGTTTAATTTTTTCCAAACAAATTCGAAAATGGTCAGTCTATCAACTTAAGTAAAGTCACTACTGGTGACGAATCTTGGTTCTATAAGTACGATCCAGAAACTAAACAGAAGTAAACGGTATGGAGCCCAATAGGAACAAACCCACTCTTAAATCTGAGTAAAGAAATCAGCAGCAAAAGTAATGATGTCAGTTTACTTCACCCGATCTAAAATCGTAGCTGCTTCCCGCTGGGGAAAGGTCAGACGGTAATTGAAAAATGATACACCGAAGAGTACTTACCAAAAGCTTTCAAAAATTTGTTGGAAAACAGGAAGAAAGAGGATTTGCGCCGCTACTTTTTACATGATCACACATGTTGAAATAACGAGTTATTTTATGGCGATGCTGGATTTCTAATTATTTCCTAAAATTATTAGAAATTTAAACGAGGAGGTCTTTAACTAGACAACGAGCAGTAAATTAATGCGGTTAATGCTGAACTTCATAAGCTTAAAAAGCAAGCCTTTGAAGACTTTTTTCGGAAGTGGATTTATGGGCTTAAGAAACGCAATGCATTTTTTTCTGGTCAACTTACCGAACTTTTGTTAATTCCCTCGCCTGTATTAAGTTCCAAATATGTACTCATAAGTCGCCAATATTGCACAAACAGCCAAGCTGTTGCAACGCTCTATGTTAATTTTGCAATACTATAAAATTCTTTTTTCAACTTCTTTCATTTTTTAGTCATTGCTTGGCGTTAGTTAGCGAATATGAATTGCGCACACAAGCAATAAATCATTTAAGCATTTGAAACACCGCGAGGTGGCAATGCAAGTAAAAGAGAAAACCATTTTCTATTGGCAGCATTTTTTTTTTGCTATTTTGGACAGACACAAAAACGCAAGTGTGCAAAGGAAACAATTAAATCGCATCAAGTGGCTTAAATGGCGCTTGTGTGCTCGTGCGTGTAAAATGTGATTGTGTGTGCTACCAAACGAAACTGCACTCGTACTCATTTCAGCCAATTAAATGGAAGAAATGTTAAATTGTTTATATGTTTTTATGATCGTTCGTTTTACGCTCGCACATAAACACTCGCAGTTACACCTCCCTGAAGCAACTATAATCAAGCTGATGGTACTTTGTTGCATCTTCAAGTCTGTTAGTAGTGCTTTTGTTTTTGTGATTAAATAGCAACGTGACCTCAGAAAAACTGACCGTGACTACGTAGCGTAGTGTTTTTCAATGAATAAAAGCTACTTTCTTACTTCTAGATAAACATTTGTGTGCGTTAGTTAGTATACACGCTTGTGGCGAACATTTGACGCTTTTAGCAGCGATGATGCTTTTTGTTCGCGTGCATATTAAGTCAGTATATACTTTTCTGTTGCTGCTCTTGGCCAGCTAAACTACCATTTAAAGTTTTTATATGACACCTAATAGCTTAATTAGCGGTGCTTGTTTGCTTTGAGGCACGCTCACTTATGTCTGCTGTGTCTTGAATAACTTGTGTGGCACTTGCTGCTGCTATTATTGGCATAAAGCGTATTTAAACCAATTGTATACGAGTCTAAATGCATATGGTTAGTATTGCATACTAATACTCGGAAGGCCAAGTTTCATGTCGAAAATTAATTTTTCTAATTACGGTCAGACCTCGGCAGGGAATGTCAAGCCCATTTAGTGTACGTCTGACATGAAATAAAAACTTACTCATATAATTCTATCAGCCGTTCGCAGACGGCTTAGTATGCACTGTGAGCCTTTCTATTTGTTGGAAAAACAGCAAGACGTAAATCCAAAGATTAAACGAGGGGCTCGGCCAAAAATCCCTTCATCGGTTACTATTATAAGTTACTATTATAATAAATAACAACACTATGTACTCTTTTTTTGCCCCATTTAAGGGGTTCACACTATATTGCTATTTATTTAGTTCGCTTACCTTTAACTTCCCACCACTGAAATGCTGCGGCGTCACTACAAAGTGTATTCCTGAAACGGCCGTTTCCAACTCCCGTGGCTCTCGCATAGGCTTGTGGTGTCGTATGTGTGAGGGATTGGTCTGCAAGTTAAGAACATATTTTTGATAATTAAAACAGTCTTTTTTTGTTATTAATAATACGTGTGATAGGTTAAGAGGTAACAAAACCCGGTCAACGTCAATATCATGTAGTTAATGTTGATTAAATTTTGTGAATCTCAAAAGTCTTTAAGTCTGAACAATTTTTCTGTAAAACAGCTTAACAATTGTCTATTAACACCGAGAACAAATAAATGAACCACAGAACAAATAAATGAACCACATATGAATCAAAAATCCTATTTTTCGAATAAACCTATATTTAAATGGCTTTGTGTTGAATGACTTTTCGTAGAGACCTGAAACTTAAAGGGTGTTTTCTGAATGTGACGTATGTTTGCGATAAGGCAGAATTGCCCAGGAAGTAGACCTGGAGCCAATATATTCGAAAAAATCAAATTAGTTTTAATCATTTGTTTGAAATATAATTATAAATAATAACATTACAAGATTAAGAGATCTAGCGACGGAGACTATCGGCCGAGTTTATTTCTGAATCCTTTTATTTACGTTTGATACATTGGTAACTTTTTGTGTACATTAACATGGGGATCACCCGAAATATAAGATGGAGCACCCTGTATATTATTTGTAAAAGTTTTAGTCTCCTTATCACATACAGAGCCTTTGGAAAGTGGTTGATCTCTAGTGCAGACAAAAAATTGAAGAAAATTTGAGTGAGTGTTTTCTATGAAAACACGCAGAAATCAGTTTTATATTAAAAACTTGAAAAGAGAAAAATGATAAATGAAAATTAGAGTTTTATTTTAAATTTTCAAAAATTTTTACTTTGGTTTCATTACAACATAACTTATTCTTGATGAGGCAAATGTCAAGGCTCGACCTTTGTAAAGCTGACGAAGTTGGTTCGAAGGCATCAGCGGTCATCTTTACTTTAAGCTTTGTAATATGTGTAATAAATTTTATACTGTCAGATAAATAATGGTGAGGATATACAATATAAAGTGAGAATTTATTGATTTAATCAATTAAAAACGGTTACTAGGTTGAAAATGCGCCGCACTAAAAAATTGGGTTTAAAACTAATGGAAGTTCAGTTGATCGCACAACTTATGAGAAACAATATGTTCAGTTGAGTTCTTAAGCAAACCAATAACAGTTCTCGCAAAGTTTGGGATCTAAGGCGTAATATTTATGTTTGAAAAATATTTCTCAATGCTTTGTATTTTTGGTAAATTACTTTGATAAACTAATCTCTTTTACTTCCATATTATATATAGTTACTGTTTAGGTGTCAATTTCCAGCAACATTCTATTTCTGTAATATTTGAAAAACATTGAACTCATAAATATAAACATACGTGTATATACATATGTTAAGCTCAGAAATGCTCAACTAAGGAACGGATGCCACTTCGTCTTGTTAATGTGGAAAATAAACTTAACGAAATGACTTTTTTTCGTTTCGGCGCCATGCTATCGAACGAAATGATATTTAATGTTGAAATCGTATCTAACTCATCTTTAACTTTAATATTAAAATGGCTGCCTGCTATGGTATTAACAGTGCACTCAAATTTTAACATTTAACGTTATCTGTTAACGACTTAGCATTATCTGTTAATGATTTAACATTAGCAGTTAACGATTTTGCTTTAACGACAGATTTTCATTTCTGGTAACAATGACAATAAATTTATTTTCATAACTGCTTTAACTTTAATTTTCCCCGATATTATAACAGAATCGATTGAATTTTTTTAATTAACGTGAAATTCATCATTACGATGCAGTCTACTGTTTAGCCGTATTTGAAGTACAATAACACCTATGTTGTATATGTATTCAGAAGATTTTTAATTTATTTTCTTCAGTGTTTTATATTCTTCCATATGTTTTATTATATTATTATTTTTATTATTTTATTCTATACATTTCCAAATGATTTCACCACAATCACTCTCTCGATTTCACCAAAAACATAACTTTAAATTTAACTAAAAGATACTAGAAAATATTTTGCTTTCCTCAGCAATGTCGCAATGTAATTCAAAGAAAATTAAATTATTTTCGTAAATGACTTTTCAACTGGCATCAAAATGTCAGTTTGTTTCCTTATTTGTAGGTTAAAGTAGTGCAAATATGTTATTGTTATTGCTGAAAATCGTCTCCATAATTTGCAAAACTTTTACAATTTTGCTACGGTAAAACGAAATGAAAATTTTGTATGCACTACAAAATTGTAGATTTATGACAATTTGTATTAAAATCGTAATGGCAGAGGCACATGCAATGGAGAGCATGCATTTTTTGGGTTCTACGTGAAAACAATGCCATTTTGTCTATGTGCAAGTACAGGCCAAAAAGTTTTACCTGCAGTACTATATTCGAATATTAAAAAAGGAAAAAAATAAACATATCAACGGTAAAAATTTCTAGGTATGGCTTATTACTTCTTCGACTCAGTGTCTCTTGAATGTATTTCCCCCAACAATAACAATCACCGAAAAAAACTTTAAATAAACAAACCACACACCAAAGCGCCAGTTGAACTGAATTATTAGCAGTTTAGGTAAGGCAAAGCGTTAAGGTGGTGTGAAGCTCGCCAAGCACATACATATACGTATATGTTATGTACGTGTTACGTGTATGTACTATGCGTTCCCATTGGAGGTGCGCCGAGAGAAATATGGCAAAAGTATTCAATGTACTTTTAAGTTTGACTTGCTCTAACTGCATGTGTATATATGTATGTCTGTATGTCAGTTTGCCTGCATTCTGGATAGAAGGAGTTTTCAAACCGTAGGTAAACATTGTTTATAAGTGAACTTATATTAGTTGTAAAGTTTGGCCTTTTAAATAAAAGTAGTATAATGCGTAGCTGAAACTGTAGCCGATGCAAGTAGTTTGGCAACTGTGTATGTCCAATGGGATTTCGGGAAAGTTTTTAGTGGCAAACAAATATAAAATATGATCGTCAGTTGAGAAAATTTATTTTCTTGTGGGAAGAACTGATGGAGCATACCTTGCTAAAATGCAAAAAAGGTAAAGGCTATATATGTTTGTAGAGTTAAATTTTGGCTATTATTAAATAAATTACTGAAGTGTAGTTGGCTAACTGCTACAACCATAAATAAATTATTAAACTAATGATAATACTGGGCATATTTCCGTTTTTTCGTTTACAAACAAAAACCTCATACCATTTCGAATAACGTATTTCGCTGAAATGCGTCATAATTTTAAAATCGAAGCTGTTGTAATTTAAAACTTAATTCTTCTAAATGCATATTATTTTTATCATAGTTGGAATAATGTATATACACCGACAATTCGTTGATATTTTGAAGGTAATTTCTCTGTCATAGAAACCTTTCTTCTGAATCCAATTCCTTACTACCTTTGCCGGATAAAAACTAAAAAAACCTATTAGGACCGGCATGCTTTACCACGGGTTAATTCTTTAACCCCTAACCCGTAGGGGTAAGGCTTATAAGAGCTGATAGATTGGTCTGTAGGTTCTGATTTATTATACGATGTGTGTGATTTGGCGTTGACATGTTGTAGTATATTCGCCTCTTGTGGAGCAAGCCTGGGTGCTTCTGAGCGACTGTATCTTTTAGACGCGTCTGTAAAAAAAAGTATGGCCATAGAAGAGACGCTGAAAATTTGTTTAGCTGTCAATTCTGACTTGGAGACCGTTTGTGCTGACTCACTGCCCTTCGATCATGACCATTATTCTTCGTTGCTGTAAGCGATCCACTTTTCAAGACCGATCTTCAACCTTAGGTCCTAGGCGACGGCATTATTTTATCGATATTTTCGTCGATTCTCATTCCACATCATGGAGCTTCATTTACATTAAAATTACCTGAATAAAATCTACGAAACCATGAGTTGAAGGTGTGTTTAATGACTGAGGGAAGGAAGGCCAAATTAAAAATAATAATGTACAGCTGTGAATAAAAAGTAATGCTGCAAGTATACATACATATATTGTTAGCTGCAACACCCTATAAAACAAAAACATGTATAAGTGCCCACTGGCCGTAAGTTGCAGCAAAAAGTTTGGTTGGCTAAGCGATAACTGTTGCCCCCAACTATGGGGATATGCTGTAATTTGAAGTACTTCACACTAAGCTTGTGTATATGTGCGTGTGGATATTTTCTAGTATGTATGGCGTATGCGAAAATTGTTGTGACATATTTCCTGCGGTCTCACTATGTGTTGTACGAGCATACGAAAGTAGTGTCTAAACTGCTCCATATGCTCAGCTGTAGTGTAGGCTGCTTGACCAATTTTCCACTGTTCTCATAATCGCTGGTGGTGTTGGTGTTGTTGTGTTTATTGCACTTGTTGTCATCACCATGCTGTTACATCATGCACCTGCAATTATGCTTAATGTCCAAGTTGGGACATTAGGGCATGTCAGTGGCGTGGACAACTCGTGCTTTCATGGCTTTCCTCCGTTCGAAGCTCATATGCAGTAATAAACATATGTGTTTGTGTGTGGGGCGATTATGTGTGTCGGTGTTTTGTTTATTTGCCTTCCGTTCAGTATGGAGCCAGATTTTGCAAATTAGCCAAAAGAAGTCACTAAAAGCAGCTGCTACTCTGCACCGAGGCAAACTTTCTCACACAACACATACACTATCAAATAAGAACACACTAACTTGCATGTAAATTTGTATGTTATTTAGCCTTTAACTACCACAAATCACCACTTCTCGCTATTTACATACGCATAAACAATTATACGCTCTACCTTCAATATATGTATGTACATGCATCAAAGATTTTCGGAATAGAGGATGCGTGTATGTAAAAGTGTGAGATTATATAAGTTCGAAACTTTTCCGCATATTTATAACAGTTTGAGCGTCCGTTGGTCGCATTATGAGTCCAGGGAAAGCACTTATGTACATGCTCATAAGCAAATATTTTGATATTTAAATATTTATAACCATAATAGAGCGTTAAATTAATTATGCCACACAATTCCAACTACATTTACACCCACAACTACAAATACTTCGTTAATTATGTGTATTTTAATATACTTTTTTTGGTTAAATTTTTGCATATTTCAGGGCGTTTATACATGCGCATGTAACTAAAAGTTTTACACTCATGTATTTATGCAAATACGAGTAAATAGCTTGAAAAGAGTGGTCAAATAGAATTTAATTGGTTGAAGAGATTTCACGTCTGAAATAAACTAGGAGGACTGGACAGTCCCAGCCGAGCGACTGCGAAGCGTATTTTTCTATTTAATTGACGTCCTCACCGCGCCATTTTGCTCTTTTCTTCGCCCCACTTGGAATCACTAAGTGAAATCAGGTCACTCTTACATGGTTCTTCTAGCGGAGTGAATGCCTTCATCGTGTTCTTCTTCCACCGGCGGGTACCTCATTAATGTTGACACCGTCCACGTTTCCTCGCCAAATGGCAGAAAGGAAATGGTTAGGAGTTTGCATTTGGTTTCCGATAGAGGACTTTAGGTTTCAATTGCTTGCACTGTTAGCAAAAATTGTTCTGAGCTGGATTCCATGGCAGCCATTATTATTGGAGTTAATACTGATCCCTAAATAGACGAAATTATCTACGACCTCGACGTGGGAGCCAAGCCGACTGTTTACTTGATGACATGAGATAATTGTTCTTATTTCGTTCACTACCAGCCCATTCGTTTCGCTTCTTTGTTAAGTTTGGAGAAGGCAAAAATAACTGCACGGTTGATAAGGCTTATGATATCAATATCATCTGCAAAAGCCAGCAGTTGTGCACTCTTGTAATAGATTGTGTCTTGTCTATTTAGCCCTGCAACTAATATTATCTTCTCCACCACCAAATCTAAGAAGTCACACGATAAAGAGTCACCCTGTCTAAAACCTCCTTTGGTCCCGAATAGGTCGGAGAGGCACTTCTCAATTCTGACTGAGTTTTTGTGGCTGTCCAGCGTCACCTTACAATGAAAAGGAGATGTATTTTGATTCTCTTCTCATAAGCGTTTTCCAACAGTACGCGAATAGTGAATATCTGATCAATAGTTGATTAACCGGGTCTAAAGACACGCTGACAGTGGACTTTAGTCTTTCACATAATACACACAATAGAACCTTACATGCGATACTTAGAAGACTAATCCCACGTTAATTGGTGCAAAACCATCGGTTCTCGCTTTATATGAATTAAGCAGAGCACAGTTAATTTTCAATCGTCGGTCATACTTTCGTCCATACATATTTCGTAAAGATTCTGTTGCATGGACCTTGTCAGCTCTACACCGCCATCTGTAGGCGGCCCAGCAGGTAGAATATCTGCGCCAGCCGAACATCGCCTAGGGTTTCAGGTTTGCAATTGGTCATATTATATATACCCAGTATACCCAGTATGCTCTGGACATTGGCCCCCAGATATCCACATTAATTGCTTAGTATGTTGAATTTGCGACCAGTACTTTTGCCGCCCAGCTTCTCTAGCTTTTCATATTTACGCATTTTGGCCTCTTTTATCAATCGTCTGCAAATGTACGTGTAGGTCGAGTTGAACGCCGTTCGGTTGTTTGTTTTGATTGCAGCTTTTTGAAGTCAAATTCTCGTTGTGTTCTTGTTGATGCCTAGAGAGGGGTGCGTATTTTCGCTGTGACAAGAATCGGTATGAGGTCCCCGTAACGTACACACATCTAGAAAACTGTATATATATCTTCCGTCCATCACAACATGATCGATTTGATTGTGGTATTTTCGATCCAGCGACAGCCTCCTTCCTGGATGTACTTTATTGTGCGGTAATGTGGTACTACAGAACTGTACGCAATGCTAACCACATGGCTCTCGCAGCCGCTTTCGAATAACTGACTTGAGCAGAGTTACGAGTTCAGTTAAAACTATGGATGTAGCGTTTTAGTTAGTATTTATAAAGTTTTCTCTTTTACGAAACGAAAGAGATATAAACTATTTTTATCTGTCGAGTGAGATTTTCACAAGAAGAAATTACCGAATAAAAGTGAGGTATGTTGATTCTAGACATCACTAAAAATAATATTTTCACTTGTTTCTTTAGGCGGGTTTTATTCTACTCACCTCTCGTCCATTTATCGTCCATGTGAGATTCGCTGCTGGTTTGGAATGTCGCGATGTACAATTACCACGTACTATATCTCCAAGACGGTATCGTGATTTTATGCCGGTTATAATAGGATCTTTTCCCGGTACTTCTGAAACAATAGAGACTGGATTAATGGCATACAAGCACATATCAGAAGAAATATATTTTTAAGTTTTAGTTTCTCATTTGAAATTGTTTTTGCTTATTTTGTTAAGGGATAAATTTAAATTAAGTGAACGAAGACACCTAAAATTTGTCTATTTTGCATAAATAAACTAATAATGTCCCTGAAAAAGTCACAAATTTAACGTCTTGCAGTAATCCCTTCGCCATCGGTTAAGTAAGCATTAGCTGTGCCGACAAACTCATTATCCAACGCGTTGAAAGCAGGTCAAAGGTGAAAGTTTAAACGTCTAAAAATATGTGTTGCAGCACTATTTAAAACTTTTTATTCTACTTTTGTAATAAGAGTGCAGGTGAGAAAGCATAAACGTTTACTGTACTGTTGAAGCGTAAAAGTGTACGACAGAAAAGGGTTGGCGAGAAGAAGCAGTAGGAAGATGATGCTGATAAAGTACAGTAAATGAATAAAAGTTTGAATGCGAAAAAGTTGTGAAGCGAAAATGCGCAACGAAATCATTAATAAAATTTGCACTTAAAGGGCGACCAGGCGACAATTTGCAGTTAACAAAGGGAAAAAATAAAACGAAAAATACTTGTGATGGTCATTAGCTGATATTGCATACTACACCGAGAAAAATTACAATAGATATGTTAACAGTTCGCACTGTTAATATAAAAGAATCGTTGAACTGTTGAATTATTTGATGAAATTAACGGAGATCCCATCTGTTTCTGCGTACTGATCTGTAAAAATTCATGATATTTTTTAAAGAATCAATTTCAAGCTAATCAAAAGAATTATATCCAATCGATTGAAACATTTGGAAATGTTATCGTTCATGAAGTAATCACAATAAATGAAACGGAATGGGTTGTCATTAATGTTAAATCGTTAACAGTTAATGTTAAATGTTAAAAATTGAGTGTGCTGTTAATACCGTAGCAAGGGACTATTTTAAAATTATCGCTAACGATGAGTTCATTTCGTTTCGATAACATGGCGTCGAAACGAAGGCAATTATTTTGTTAAGTTTAATTTTCATATTAACAAAACAAAATGATGTCGCTTAGTTATTAGAACAAATCTACCAGAAATTATTATCCAACAGTGTCTCTGGTAATTTGATGGTATGTTAACATCTAACAAAAAAAAGGTGACAAAGCAATCATCTTTTTATATAATTTCCGAGCATACGCTTGTCGTCCACCTCCTCGTACTCATGCATCTCGGCCTTGGTTAAAGGGACCCTCCACTGATCGGGCAAAGTTGTATTTCTTTTGTGGGGGAATGTGTGAATTTGTTTATTGTTTGAAATTTTAAAACGGCAAAAAAATAGTCGAAACTTAAAATGACGGCTCCGCGCGAAATTCATTGCCCAAAAACTTCAAGCCTATAGCCTATTGCAGTGGAATGAAATCGTTGTCATTACTTGAAGATCATGAAATTTTCTACGTCCTGAACCTTAATTGAAATAATTTTAAATACAAATTTATTGCTTAATTATAATTAATTATAAAATTAAATTTTTGCTCCTTTTTTCACTTTAATATCGTTAAAGACATTTAATTATTTAATAATTATTATTGCTAATCTTAGATTTAAGACGTAGATAGAACTATATACTTTAATTCAGGTTTAAGTTAAAAGAAATTGGACGGATAGATCAAGCCCAGAGCTTGAAGTTAGATCGGAAAACATGATTTCGAGAAAAGCGCGTTCAAAGTTTTTTGAAAATTTGCAGCGTGGTTGAGACTGGTGCGTCCGAGAAGCAGCCATTTAAAAAATATTCATCGTTCATCATGGAAAATACCCTTAAACACATATTCTACAAATATATGGCTTTAATTAAATTAATTAATTTAAATAAAAAAAATCGATTTAGTTTATCAATAATAAAGGAAGGAACCTCCAGAAAATCTGTAGAATTTTCTAAAACAGCAATATTTAATTCCGTTGGCTATTACTTTATATGTACAACTGATTGATAGTGATGTGGTTCAAGGTGATGAATTCGATTTTATTTCTAGGTGAAAGCAAAGAGGTGAAGGGGACGAAAAGCCAATACTATAGTTTTCTCGTATTAAGAAGAAATTTAACTTCGGAAAAACAGAAGCTAAAAGTCATATAATATTTATAACCTTCAAAACCAATATTTATAGTTTTTTCTTAATTTATAAACTATGGTTTGGCGAAGATACAGCCATAACGTTATCGATCTATTGTACTTTGAACGATTTTAAAGCAGGATATGCAAAGAAAGCGTGAAGCAGCCTCGCGGCCAAGCTGCAATTCACGGACAGTTCAATAGAGGACTAGGACTCCTTAACAACACAATTTTATGAAAAAAACAATCAGAATATTCACTGGAAAGTGAAGAAACAATATCCATATTCGAAATCAATATTATACAGATATTTCTTGGACACATATTCTTTTATAACTCATGTAATATTTAAATTGTTTTTTAAATTAATGATTAGTGCCAATTTTTAAAATCTGTATACCAAATGGTTTCCTTATTTGTAAAAGAATTGGAAATTTTAGTACAGTTTATACGGGGTTTATATGAAGGATAGAATTTCGCGGGAGACATTAATCCCTTTGGGATAAGCAGAGCTCGCTACAAGTAAACAAGCTTTCTGTATAAATAGTAATAATTGTAAATATATAATACTAAATTAAAATATATCTTTTTAGATACTAGAACTGATATCATAACTTTACTATGATTAACAATTTTTTCTTTGGGTGTAGACAGCAGGTGCTCAACGAGATATGTATGTACTACTATCTGGACTTATGTAGCTTTTCATTGCTCCCTTTATGTTTTATTTGTCAGACANGCTTAGTTATTTGAGCATATCTACCAGAAATTACTATCCAACAGTGTGTCTGGTACTTTGCTGGTATGTTAACATCTAACAAAAAAAAAGTTGACAAAGCAATCATCTTTTCATATAAATTTCGAGCATACCCTTGTCGGCCAGCTCCTTGTACTCACGCATCTCGTCCTTGGTTAAAGGGATCCTCCACTGATCAGGCAAAGTTTGTATTTCCTTTGTGAGGGAATGTGCGAATTTGTTAATTTTTTGAAATTTTAAAACGGCAAAAAATAGTCGAAACTAAAAATAACGGCTACAAAAACTTCAAGCCTACAGCCTTTTGTAGTGGAATGAAATCGTTGTCATAACTTGAAGATCATGAAATTTTCTACGTCCTGAACCTCAATTGAAGCAATTTTAACTACAAATTTATTGCAGAATTATAATTAATTATAAAATTAAATTTCTGCAACTTTTTTCACTTCAAATTCGTTAAAAAAATTTAATTATTTAATAATTATTTATGCTAATTTTAGATTTAAGACGTAGATAAAACTATATACTAAGTTCAAAGAAATTGGACGGATAGATCAAGCCCAGGGCTTGGAGTTAGATCGAAAAACATGATTTCGAGAAAACGCGTTTGTTGGTAAAGCCAAAACCACGTTCCACAGGATAAAACAATGCAACTCATCACAATTGCTACTGGTTAACTTTTGCTTAAATTTCAACCATTTTTCGCGGAATACCGTAAAGATTTAAGAGTATTTTTTTCTTTAGGTGTAGACAGCAGGTGCTCAACGAGATATGTATGTACTACTATCTGGACTTATGTAGCTTTTCATTGCTCCCTTTATGTTTTATTTGTCAGACAGTCACTATCATTCTCATAGTTTTTTAATAAACTTTTCGACATTATTTTCTGCTTTTTTATTTTAAATAAAATTTCCTTGCCTCTTACTCACTTTTCTCGCTCTCCATTCTTTCACTACACATGAGTGAGAGGGAAAAGGCGACGGCTAGTAGCTTCCATTTGCGTTGTTGGCTACTGGTAATCTGGCGCAATTTATATTTTAACTACTTTTGTTGTTTTGTTTGCCTTTTACCGGTGCCGCAAAAGGCCAGAACTTTCATTAAAAAACAATTAAATGTGAAGCATAAAAGTGGCACTCGTAAAGTCAGTCTCTTCAGGTAAGTATCGCACGTTGGGTGGTTTATTATTTCAGTGACGCCATTGAAGCACATTTGAAAAGTTTATTTGTGAAATGAGTAATGCGAATTTAATTTCACATTTTTTTTTTGTTACACATTTTTATCTCTTTGAAATTTGTGGGTGAGTTAAGTTATGGATTAAATTACTTTACGGCTTTGTTAAATAATTCTTTACCAATGTCGAGTAATTTTAGAAAGGCTCAAACCTGCCATGGGACCGAAAGAATTAACAAATTATTTTGACTATTGTCAAACAGTGGAAAAACCTATATTTTCAAAACAGAACAGAACAGCCCTACATTCATGATACAAAAAACAAGGTAGTTTCAGTAAACATATTTTTCCGAAATTTTTACCATCTGATATAAAAAAGATTTTTTGACTTATTATATATTTTTATATTACCGATTTAATTCTTTACAAAATAAATAATCAACTTTCTAAATTTTAATAATTATGTTAGAAAAATTGCAAAACCTTTTAATGTAAACAAAAAAAAAAATAAAAATAAAGGAAAATTATACAAACTTACAAAAAAACTCCAATGTTTTGTATTGTATTTTCTGAAATCTAAAGGAAATAAAATTATTTTCGGTCGCCTTAACATTTTTTTTATAAAAAAATATATGAATTTTTTTTAAAATGGCAATATCTTAAAGTTAAAATGAAAATGATATATAAAGTAAAAAATTCTTTTTCTGTCAACTTTTTTTTGAGTGAAACTACCTTCCTTTTTTGTATCATGCTTACATTCCCATTAGAATTTTTCGATATTACATAATTTGTGTAGCTAACTGAGGGTAGGGTATTTAAGCACCTGGAGTAAAATTTGGTTTTCATGAAATTTTATATACGAACAAAATTTTACTCGGAACTACTTCGTCGATAAAAACTCAGTATGCTTCAGTCGAATATATGTACCAGATTCAAGAGTTTAAAAAGCGCAGG